TGCGCCACTCGGACTGGTCCACGGTGGCCCTGCTCAACCAGTCTGCTCGGGTGTTTGAGGCCCCCGAAATGTGTTCTGCTTTGATCGAGAGGAGGTGACGCTCTGCCCAACGGCAGAGTCTTTCGGTCTCTCTCATCAACCGGATAGACTGGGTCCCGCCTTGCCTGTTGACATGGGCCTTGGCGGTAACGTTGTCCGTGAGAATAAGGACATGCCACCCGCATATCTGAGGCAGGAAGTGGCGCAGGGCCAGGTGGATGGCGTGGAGCTCCAGCCAGTTTATGCTGCAGACCCGCTCTGCTTGGGACCATTTGCCCTGCGTTGTGAGGGACTGGATGTGAGCGCCCCAGCAGTTCAGGCTGGCGTCTGTGGTGATGATGAGACGCTGAGGATCTTTGAAGAGATGACCCCTGTTGATGGCTGGGTTGGTCCACCAGAGGAGAGACGAGAGGACCTTTGGAGGTACCTTGATGGTGGATTTTGAGTTGCTTCTGCCGGACCTTTGAAATGGGAGCAGGAGCCACTGCAGGGACCTGGTATGAAGACGGGCCCAAGGAATAATAGAGATGCATGAAACCATTTTTCCCAGTAATTTAGATAATTCTAATAGAGAAGCCCTCTTTGATCGTCGGATAACCTGAATAGAGTTTCGAATACTCAGGAGCCTTTCTGGAGAAAGGAACACTTTTCCCTGCACCGTGTCAATAATGGCCCCCAAGTGGGCAATTCGGGTAGAAGGGACCAGTTGGCTCTTTTTTTGGTTGACCAGAAACCCATGGGCCTGGAGTGCAGAGAGGGTGGTCTTGGTGTCCAGCTCTGCCTGGGATTGTGAGTGGGACAGGATGAGGATATCATCCAGATAGCAGTGGAGCCGGACCGGGTAATCCCTTAAGCGAGCCGCCAAGGCCGCGAGGATCTTAGTGAAAACTCTAGGAGCGGAAGCTAACCCAAAGGGAAGGGCCACATACTGGAAATGACGGTGATTGTAACAGAACCTAAGGAATTTAGAGTGGGAGGGCTGAATTGGGATGTGGAGGTATGCCTCTGAGAGGTCTATAGAAGAGAGCCAATCTCCTTGCCTGGTGCCCAGCAAGATGGATTGAAGGGTGTGCATTTTGAATTTACGGAGGGATAGGTAGCGATTGAGCCGTTTGAGATCCAGGATAGCCCTCCACCCCCCCGAGGATTTGGGAACCATGAAGAGGTGGGAATAGAAGCCCTGTCCTTGTTGAGAGTGGGGAACTGGCTGGATGGCCTGGATGGAGAGTAAATGGTGGATGGCAGAATCCATCAAGTTGCGTTTGGAGGGGTCCCTAGAAGGAGGAGATGACATGAAAAACTCGGGAGGTTGAGAGTTGAACTCCAGAGCGAGCCCAAACCTAATGGAGTCCCTGACCCATTTATTGGAGGTGGTGGAGTCCCACTGGTCGGCGAAATGTCTAAGCCGACCGCCAATGGGAGGAGAAAGACAGGATTTATTTGGAGCGCCGGAAGGGTCTCCCCCCGGAACCCCTGAAGGGACGCTTAAACCCTCCGCCCCTCCTATTCCGATCGCTTGGGTCGGAACGATCCTGGGGATATGGTGTTCTATATGAGGGAGGCCTCGGGTATCTGGGAGGGAAGGGTGACTGGTAGAAGGACCGGGAGGACCCTCTTCGAAAGGGCTGAGGGGTTCGAGAGTCTGGCCTCCGAAAAAGACAAGGGAGGAATTTCTTCTTTCCCCTAGTTTCGGCCAACAGGGGGTCCAGGGCCGGACCAAAAAGTTTCTCCCCCTTAATGGGGGCGGAGGCCAGCTTGACCTTATTTTTCACGTCCGCCTGTCATGGTTTGAGCCAGAGCAGACGGCGAGCAGTGACCTGAGACGCTAGCGCCCGGGAGGAGAATTTGACAGCATGGTACGTGGCGTCAGCTGAAAATTCTGCCGCTGCCGTGATTTTTGCTATGTCCTGAAGCGCCCTTGTGTTGGATGGAGGGATATGCGACTTCAGTTGACGGAGCCACCGGATAGAGGACCTGGTGAAGAAGGAGGCTGCGGTGGCCGATCTAATGGCCCAGGCGTCGGCTAGATGAGCCCGACGCAAGGCTAACTCAGACCTCCTGTCTTCGGGTTTGAGGGCCTCCAGGGGGTCACTCGGGGAGGAGGATGAGGCGAGACCAACAATGGGCTCATCCACCTCCGGGGTATTGAGGAGGGAGCAAAAACTTGGCTCGAGGTTAAATAACATCTTATCCTGAGTGGATGGGGCAGGAGGGGTCCCCGTAAAGCCCAGTTGGTTAGAAACCAGATCGTGGAAAATGGGAGGGGCTGGAATCACATCCTCGGCAGCCACAGGCTGCCTGAACATGGCGTCCTCTGGGTCCTCCCCTGAGGAGGGGGGGCCAGAGGGAAGTTGAGTGGCCAGGCCAGAGGTATTCTTGGCCTTGAACAGGATGGACTTGAACATGTGGGGTTTGAATAACCCCACAAAGGAAGGCTGATCGGGGGTAAGGCCCTCGTCCTCTGACAGCTCTGCTTCCATTGGGTCTAAGTCCGAAAGAGGTTCCCCATGGAAGGTGGATCCCCATTCAAGGTCCTCCTCCTCCCCCTCCCTGTATTGGTCTAAAATTTCCATTCCCTCGTCCGGTTCCCTTTCTGGAAGAGGGCTGGCCCCCCGGGAGGGTACCTGACCAGGAGCGGGGGCCAGGGTGGGCGTGGACCTGGTTGGCACAGGCTCTTGTGCAGGAGCCGTCTGAGGGAGGCCTGGTCCAGCCATCTTCTGCATGCCTTGAGCTATTCCTTGTCGAATAGCCTGTTCCATCCAAACTCTCATGTACTCAGGCATCTCGATCGTGGGCGGGTCTTCCTGTCTTAGACCAGCGGCCGTGGGAGTGAAGGTGGCTTCGGGCATCCAGCTGGTTGCTGGTCCAGGGGCGTGAGACTCCTGGGATGAGCTGTGCCTGGATAGAGGGGAACAAACTGGAGCGGGGGGTGCCTGGAAGTAGAAGGGGTGGCTGGGGGTGTTGGTTGAGTCACCCTAGAGCGCCTGTCGAACTCCCTCTCTAGTGCCTTATGGCGCCTTAAGGCCTCCCTTTGAGAGGCCTTGGAAGCCTCCTGGGAGGTTTCCTTAGCCTGTCTGCGCACATGATGGGACTTAGATTTTGCCTTCAAAGAATGGTGGGTGTTGGGGTTGTCATCTGCCATTGTGAAACAAATAGATGAGTCAATATGAATATATATATATATGTATATAGGCGGTTGGCATGCCTAGGATACGACCTGGGTAAGGCCGGGTATCCAGAAACTGGCCCGCGCCCCCTTTTAGAATTTGTAAGGAATAATCTGAAAAATATGACCAAAAATTCTGAACTGACACAGTTATAGACTTCTAATGTATAAACTATATCCTGTCAGGATATGGATCCAGGAAAAAACAAAAAACCACCCTGTTGAAGCAGTAATGAGAGGCTATATCTCTCTAAGCAAATCTGAGAGAGAATAAATGCCAATTGAATGAGATAGGATCACCAATGTAAAAAAATATGAAGATATTCTGTATTAAGGTGTGACCAAATAACAACCTAGCAGTTGTGGTAGAAAGAGGAAAGCCAATTAGTCAAATAAACGCCAGAAATAAGAGGCCTCAGGCAGCTTGCCCCCCCCCCAGGGAGGGAGTGGCTGCACTTACTTCCCCGCCCTGAGCTCTGCTGCGGGAGCCAACACTTTTACACCAGTAAATATAATAGATAAATAATGTTTCTTCCCTTTTGAGGAGAGAGACAGAGAGGCCCTACTAGGCCTGGGAGCCTGAGGCTAGGGCCAGCAATTGTCGCAGCAAAATGGAGGCCTACAAAATGGCACCCGGCCACGAGGCGGCGCCCAAAATGGCGGCTGCCTGGAGATCGATGTAAAAAAGCAAAGCGGGCTGCTCAGGGCGTGTGCGTCCTGCAAGCCACGAGGGCGAGGACGCTAAAATCGCCTCTACCAGGGCGATTGGCGTTGAATGGGGGGAAAACCAGCAATAAAAGAATCCGGACCGCTGGGGCGGCACAAGGACGACAAGGCAGGAACGGAGAAGAGGAAAAACGGCAGAGGAGGGGGGGTAGCGCTAAGCGCTGCTAAGCCGCCCGCTCAGCCCCCTGGGGGTGAAAACGCACACCCCTGGATCCCAAGACACCCTCAGATGCGCAGAGGCTAAGGAAAGTAGCAAACTGAGAATCAAACCTGGAATTATTACTATTATCCTGCTTGAATCAGCCAAGAGTGGAAGCACAGTCAAAAACACACAGCCTAACTCTGCGAAGGCTGAGCATAAACTGGGGAACGCTACAAGAGACCACGTGATAGAGGGCGGAGCGTTCCTCAGTAATTAAGCTCAGCCTACACAGACGCAGACTGGAGCACCTCCCACTCTCTGGATGATCCGAGCAGCTCGAGGGAGAACCTTCCATTCCCCACCATCAAGTCAGAGCTGAAGAAGCTTCTTTGATGAGAAGTGAAATGTCTTCAAAGAAAACCAGAAAGTCCAGTTGCCTCTTGAAAAAAAGCACCTTTGGGACAACCATGACCCAATAATCTCCACAGACATCAAGCAATGCAATTTTATGCAATGCAATTTAATAAGTTGAACTTTCTTCCTTCCCTGCAAAGTAAACAGGTGATCAGAAACTATCCTGGCAGTTTGTATGACTGGGTAATATAACTATCTGCAGCTGTGAACTCTGGCATTTCTTCCAATCAGTAGGAAGATACTGAACCATCTTTTCCCATGGGAAAGGAAGATGGGGTAAGATCTTCCTTAGCTGAAACTGACAAAAACAAAAGAAGTATATCATAATTTTGAATCTGGCAAACAATGTCATTCCAAACTATGGATTCCTGCTTTGAGATATTGTCTTCTGTGTAATAAGGAAGTTTTACTATACTTAAAAGCACATTATATGGTGGGTACTGGGTAACGTATATGAAGTCCTTAAAATTAGCAATAATTATCTAAAACAAACAAGTGAAATCCAACACTTACAATCATCTTCTTATAGAGTCCATAATGTAGCACCAGACTGTGGGTCAATGCCAACCGATGTGGTTTCATGGGATGTCCTGCTCCTAATATTGTGGGGGGGAGAGAAACATATATAATTAACATGTCCACATCAGAAGCACAGGAATCTAACTGATCACTACCACAAGTCCTCAAAGAATAAAGAATATGGATTTTAAAAGTGAAAGATGGTTGGCATACAAATTGAAAAAGGAGGAAAATGATACATCAATTAATGGATGAAACCTTCACCATCAAAATGATGATAAAAAGAAAGTGACCCAAAATTACTATGGAAAATTATATGACCAAAAGACAGCTTCAGAAGATAAAATACTTAAAAAAACCAGAACAACCAAAAATACCTGAAACAGTGAAAGCCATGTTAGATGAATGTATAATAATGATGGAATTAACAGAAGCAATTAAGAGACAAAAGAATGGTAAAGCACCGGGCCCAGATGATTTACCAGCAGAACTTTACAAAGACTTACAAAATATTCTAAGTATGCCAATGTTGGAAGTGTTCAATGAAGTATTGAACATCATTGATGGCACAGTGGTTAGAGTGCAGTACTGCAGGCTACTTCTGCTGACAGCTGGCTGCCTGCAATTTGGCAGATCGAATCTCACCAGGCTCAAGGTTGACTCAGCCTTCCATCCTTCCAGGGTGGGTAAAATGAGAACCCAAATTGTTGGGGGCAAGATGCTGACTCTGGAAAACGCTTAGAGAGGGCTGTAAAGCACTAAGTGCTATTGTTATTGTTAGAAGTGAAAATACCAAATTCATGGATGGAAGCATATATCACACTCATACTAAAAGAAGATTCAGATTTACAACAGATAAAAAATTACAGACCAATACCTTTTGTTAGCCCGAGTTTGATTTTGTAGAAATTCTAGCAATGAACTATGTTACTCACAGGGTTTTTGTGAATAGGTACGTTTATTTTCGCTCGTTGTCCTTCAAACACGGCAACAACGGTTATACTGGGTAAAGTCAGCACTGAGATAATTTGCATCTCAGCGCAATTTATGATGAATCCCCACACCGTGCAGCTAACATCCGCCCTCCCCATTAGTCCTACACGCCTCCACCCTGCAATTCTAAATGCAACTAATTAACCCAGCAGTTTGTGGTTTAAATCTCGAGCCGCGACTTAATTCCCCCAATTCCACCCCAATGAGCCTCCATGTTTTGTTTCTGGAAATGAGTTGGAGTGAAAAACCTCCTCCCACCCCCATCCTTGTCACATGTCTGTGGCGATACGGGATAGATGAGTCAAGCCAGGATGGGATCTGCAGGAGTGGAAAACCTTCCCCAAGGATCTACAGGAGTGCAAAACCCTCCCCGACTAAGTCAATACATTGGAAACGGCAGGATCGGACGTTCCTTCCCCAATCAAGATAACGTGTCGGGCTTCACTCCAGTGGATGAACCAGTAGGATCGTTGAAGCCCGACAGGCAGCCCCCTCTACCATTGTTCCTTCTGTAACAGAAAGGTTATTATTAATAACATGTATATATCTTGCTTCATCCCTCCCACCCACTTTGTGAGGTTTTTTATATGGAATTGTCATCTCAGATGGGATGCAGATACATCTGTATGGGGTATCCACGATGCATCTGCTAATGGATAACCTGTCCACTGAACTAAATATTGCAATACTCCACGTCTACGACGTGAATTGAGTATTTCATTGATCTCATAATGGTCATCACGAACTGGTCCTGGGGTATGCAATCTAGGTTCTTGTCGTGTCATATTTGCAGGTTTTAGAAGACTGATATGAAATATGGGTGAACTCTTTTGAACCTAGAAGGAAGTCGAAGACCAACTGTAACAGGATTTATTACTCGTATAACTTGAAATGGTCCAATGTATTTTGGGCCTAGTTTTTTACTAGCTAGACCTAGGTGTAGGTATTTAGTTGATAGATATACCCAATCTCCAACATCATATTGTGTTTGTGAGGATCTTTTTTTATCAGCTTGGATTTTATATACTTCTTGCGCTTTTTTCAAGGCGATTCGAACTGAGTCCCATTGCTTACATACTTTATCTGCCCAGGTAATTGTAGTCTCTACATTTTGTTCTTGTTCATTATGAGGCCATTCGAGTATGGCTACAAATTCCATACCATTTACTATTTGGAAGGGGGAATGACCAGTAATGCTATGTACCGTATTATTATACGCTATTTCAGCATATGGTATCAGATCTACCCAATTACTTTGTTGATAATTAATATAACAAAGGTACTGTTTGATGGCGGCATTAGCTCTTTCAGCCGCTCCATTGGTAGCTGGGTGATACGCTGTATTTAGTCTTTGTGTTGAACCAATCAGATGTATAAACTCTCGTCAGAATTTTGAGGTGAACTGTACTCCCCTATCCAATATTATTCTTTGAGGCACCCCATGTAATCGATATATATGTTATATAAACAATTTGGCTAATTTTTTAAACTGATGGTATTCCTTTACATGGGACAAAATGTGCCTGTTTGGAGAACAGATCAATGACAGTCCATATCACTGTGTATCCATGGTTATCCGGTAAATCAACTATAAAGTCCATTCCAATGTCTTGCCAGGGTATCATCGGTTCAGACATTGTAGTAATCCTGCTGGCTTTCCAATTTTAGTTTTATTTATTACACAGACAAGACAGGATTTCACATAATTCTCTATATGTAATCTCATATCTGGCCACCAAAAATTATACACCTCCCTAGCACATCAAAGTAAAAGAGTAGCATTATATATTAAAGAAACAATAAAAGCTAAACAAATATTCAAGATGATGAAGGGAGAGTATTAATGGTGGAAATAATGATGAAATATAAACAAACTATCAGTTGGCTATCTGTCAGGGTTTTGGCAGTTACTCCAATTAAATCATGAGCCTTGAGCCACATTCCCAAAACTAAAGAGGATTTATTTGAAGGTAATGTTCTACATCGGCACTAATCTGGGTGAAGCCAACTCTGAGTTATGTAATTCACTGTCACCCTGGATCCTGCTTTTCCCCCCACCCCTCCATAGCCAAGAGTCATCAATCATGTTCTCCAATTAGATTTTTTCACGGCAGAAGTTTCAACCATCTAATCAGTCTTAGAAGAAAATATGAATGGAATGTACTTTCAATTTCACACTGTGTTTCACTCCCCACCTTCTTTCTGTTGTCAATTATAAAACGTGTATACAAAATGTTTTATGAGTTGACACAAACATTATTAGTGGTAATATATGTACCAAAGGAGAATCAAGAAGAATTTTATGATAAATTACACAAGAAAAATAATGGAACTAGAATATTAATGTATATGCATCCTAGGACATTTCAATGCAATAGTGGATGCTGAAATGGACTATAAAACACAAAAGATAAATAAAAACAGGAAAACGCTACCAAAATCCTTCTTCAATATGACGGAAGAGTTAGCAATCCAAGTGGCATGGAGAGAAATATACCCCCAAAATTAACAATATACATTTTATTCGAACAGACACCTGTCCTGGTCTAGGATCAACATGATGTGGATATCAACAGACTTAATCTATAACATACAAGAAATAAGTATTGAAACAAACAAGGGGAGACCACAACCCTCTTAAAGTAATATGGAAGGGTCAAAAAAACTTTTTTGAAAACGCAAATAAGCCAGGAAGGTGGCCAGCATATAGACTGAAGAAAGAGAAGGAAAAGAAATGGATTTCCCAACTAATAGATAACAAAGGCAACCTTTACTACAGAAATGAAGAGAAAAAAAGAAATAGTTCAAAAATATTATGGGGAACTATATGAACAAGAACAAGTGGGGAAAGGAGAATTTAAAGAATACTTTAAAAAAGCAGACCTACCTAAAGTACCAGAAGAAATTAAAACAATGTTAGAGGAAAGAATTACAATGATGGAATAAACAGAAGCAATTAAAAGACAAAATAATGGGAAAGCATCAGGACCACATGGTTTGCCAGCAGAAATGTATAAAATCTTTCAGGATTCCTTGAATAATATATTGTTAGAAGTGGTAAATGAAGTACTGATGTAGGCGAAAATACCTAATTCATGGATGAAAGCTTATTTTACACTAATACCGAAAGAAGATAGTAACTTACAACAGATTAAGAACTATAGTTTCATTGTTGAACTCGGATTACAAATTATTTGCCTCAATAATGGCAGAAAGATTAAAGAGATTTCTAAACCAATTTATACACCCAGACCAAAATGAGTTTTTACCCAAGAAACAAATAAAAGACAACATGAGAATAATCCTGAACACTTTGGAATACTATGAAGTGCATCCAGAGAAACAGATGGCATTGATATTCCTAGATGCACAGAAGGCTTTTGACAACATGAACTGGCAGTTTATGTTGGCACAAATGGAAAAACTGGGCTTTGGGGAAAAGTTTATTAAAATGATTAAGACAATATATTATAAACAATATGCAAATGGAGAATTGACTGAAAAAATAACATTAAGAAAGGAACAAGGCGAGGGTGTCCCTTGTCACCATTACTATTTATATTAACCTTAGAAGTGTTAAACAGAAACATTAGAAAAGATAAGGAAATAAAAGAAATAGAAAAGGAGGAATATAAATTACAGGCATTTCCAGATGACTTGCTTTTTATATTAGAAGAACCACTAGGAACAGGAGCTAAGCTAATAAGATAGAGGAATATGGAAAAGTGGCAGGACTGAAAATAAATAAAGGGAAAACTAAGATACTGGTAAAAAATATGACAGAAACAGAAAAAAGAGTTAATTGAGATATTAGATATACAGATTGCAAAAAAAGTAAAAGATTAATAGCCAGATGTGAAACGATTAAGGAAGAGAACTACTATAAACTAAAACAACAAATTAAGACAGATTTATAAAGATGGGGTAATATGCAATTATCATTAATAGGAAGAATTGCAATGATTAAGATGAATATATTACCAAAAGTGTTGTATCAAACAATTTCAATGAAACTGGAGAAAAAAAATACTTTGAAGGTATTAACAAAATAGTATTGAAATATATATGGCAAGGTTTGGGTTAT